CGGTGCGTGACAGACGGCACCCAAAAAGGGCGGCGTCCCAGGCGTCCGAGGGAAGTGGCCCTGGAGGCCGGAAGACGCATAAAGCGACAGCAACCTTACACATTCAGGCAGGTTCAGACTCGTCTCCGAGCCACGTGACGCGCCCGGGCCAGTCAGAGCGGGCGCAGGGGGCGGGACATGACTGACACCGCCCCCCCCCAGCTGCCTCTGCAGACAAGGGAGCCCAGAGACCCCGCGCAGGGGACCACGCCCACCAGAGCCAGCGGCTAGACGAGCAAACCTCTGGCCGGGCTTGGCTATGGCATGCTCGGTTACCAAGGCGAATGGATCGCTGTGGTCCCGCCCTTATGACGTGCTCCAATCGCCAGCGAAGGTTGCTGTCTCTTCTTCCGGATCAGAGGAGGAATCGAAAGAGAAAGTTCTGCCCCTGCCTACTCGAAATGAAATATTTCCGGGGTCAAGCGTAAATTGTCTGCGCTTGGGAGTGCACTTTTGCATGCCAGAGGCGTCACGCGTCTTCCTCGCCTGCTTGCTTCAGTAGATATGGGCGGGCGTTTTGGCAGTTGTCCCAAATTGTTGAGAACTTTTATATTCCTTCCCGTGCCTAGAATTTATAGTATTTTTTAAAATTTTCTTTTATTTTCCTTCTGTTTCTTGAAGTTTTGCCTCTAGGTTAATCGATTAGCCATTTCCTCTCATTGCCATATATTTTTTTATTCGAGTCTCTGAATGTTAAATCCCCAGTGTAAACTTTGAAAGGCTTGTTTAAATTTCTGGAGAACAGCTATCTCAGAAATCTCTAGAATCAGCTGGGCGTTGGTGGAGCAAGCCTTTAATCCCAGCACTCGGGAGGCGGAGGCAGGCGGATCTCTGTGACTTCGAGGCCAGCCTGGTCTACAAGAGCGAATGCCAGGATAGGCTCCAAAGCTACACAGAGAGAAACCCTGTCTTGAAAAACCAAAAGAAGAAAGAAAGGAAGAAAGAAATCTCTAGAATCGTCTAGAATCTAGAATTAAGTTGTAATTACAACAACAAAAATTCTATTTTGTAATTATTTGGGATTAATGGGTAAATGAGATTCTTCTTCAGTTCAGTGTGGAATGCTGCGAAAGCGGTTTCAAAGATACACTTGTTTTTTATACTCAATCTTGGTATACACTGTTCAAATTAAGAACATTGACAAGGTAGACGATTTGAAGGTTCACATGGTTATTTTAAAATGGAATTACTTATCAGGCTTCGTGACACATGATGAATTCCATCACTTGGAAGGTAGAAGCAGGAGACTGTGGAGTTTAACGTCATCCTTGACTACCCACCAAGTGGATGGGCAGCATGCACAACATGAAAACAAGTCTCACAAAAAAGGAGGAAGAAATGGTTTATTCATTTCCATAATCACTAAATGTAATGGATATTTAAGAACTTTATGCCTTGTTATGTTAACAGAAAGTGGTATTTTCCAAATTCTGAATAACACATTTATTTTTTAATAAAACACCTCCCATACTAAACTCAGAAGGGAAAGTGGAAAAACCCTTAAATCTATCTTGCTTCTGGCTATTTTGTTGTTGTTGTTCATGAAATCAAACTTTGAAAAACTTCCCCCTTTGCCAGTCTTTGTGGGGCATGACTTTTTTTCCCCCCTAGCACTCAGGAAGAAGAGACAGGTAGGTCTCTGAATTTGAAGTCATCTTGGTTATGGATACATAGTGAGTTCTGGCTTAGTCAGGACTACAAAATCAGACTCTACTTTGAAAAAAAGTAAAGAGAAAAAGGGAAGGAGATATCTCTGCTTGCTATCTTTTCAACTATCATTCATTGATTTGTATTTTCTAGTCTGACTTTTCATATTCATCACTACTAAGTTTACAAGAATAATTGTCACAGGTTCGGCTATCTAGACTTTGGAAGGCAGGAAGTTTCTGTGAAAGGAAAGGGAGAAAATGCGGCAGAGAGAGAGAGAGAGAGAGAGAGAGAGAGAGAGAGAGAGAGAGAGAGAGAGAGAGAGACAGAGAGACAGAGAGAGAGACAGAGAGACAGAGAGAGACAGAGACAGAGACAGGAGGGAGAGAGGAGAGAGACTGGAGGGAAGAATGGAGGGGGGGAAGAGCCAGAGCAGAGACAGAGACAGGAGAGAGAGAGGAGAGAGACTGGAGGGAAGAATGGAGGGGGGGAAGAGCCAGAGAAGTTAGGCTGAGATACCAAGTCTCAAAACAGTTTTATATCAGTCCAAATCTGAAATTCAAAGTTTTTCCCATGGAAGAAGTAGGCATTAGGCTTTATGCTCATGACAATCAGTTACTGCACCTATGCTGTGACCAAAAGAAAAATGGTGTTTCTATACCTATGTCTAAGAAAGAATTCTTTAGTCAAGAGGCTGATTGCTGAGGCATATCTATTGGCAACAGTACAAGCAAAAAAGACCATGAGCATATATGAAGATAATTCTGGGAGCTAGATCACAGCATCCCATGAGTTCATTAAACAACCATTTATTGTAATTAATACTGCCTATCTCACACTTAACATCTTTAATCAGCAACCTATTAATTATTCTTTCACTCTTGATGTCTTGGAAATATACTTTAGTATGTTTCTTCCTACTTTTTGATCTACTCAGTATGCTATGAAGATCTTTTCCTGTTTTTAGTATATAAGTGAATTCTCATTCACTGTTCCTCTTATTTTCTCAAACTGTTTGTCTCCAGCTGATTATATCCATGCCCATGGTTTTAATTGCTACCTCTAACCCATTATTACACTACAAAACACATATATAATAACATGTCCCGGGCATTGTTAAGTGCGTTATAAATAGACACTCATTTGCTCCTAAAAGCTAGTAAAAAATGTTTTACAGAAATGAAGAAACTAACTATAGACTTGGCAAATAGCTCTCTGGAAGTCACATAGTTAGTGACTCTTGGAGCTAAATTCCAAATTCAGGTTGGTTGTCAGAAGATTCTATGTATCTTTCTCCTAACTCACAGACCTCTATCTTCAGTTTTTAGTTCTCATCAGATGTGTATATAGCTGGATTTTCATGAGCATCATGAAAATCATACTGTAAAATCACCTTCAAATGAAATATGTTCAAAATCAAACATTTTGTGCTACATTTTTCATTTTTGTTAATCACAAGATAGCCCAAACCCAGATGCTTAAATGCCAGTGTAGGAATGCAACCAACAACAGTCAGGCAATGTGGAGCTACCAGAGCTCAGCTATACTACAACAGCAAGACCTGAATATTCTATCACAGCAGAAGCACAAGAAAATAATGTCAAAAACAGCTATACACGAAGATGATATATATCCTTAAAGAAGAATGAAAAAACTTGCTTAAAGAAATCAAGAAAAAGACAACTAAAAATTAGGAGGAAACCAATAAATCCCTTACAGAATACCAAGAAATTCAAGGGAAGAAAAAAGAAAACAGGTAAAGAAATGGTTCAAGACCTGAAAATCGAAATAGAAGAAATAAAGTACAACCTGAGAGAATTCAGAAAATGGAAAATCTTGGTAAGTGAACAGGAAGTACAGATAAAATCACCAACAGAATACAAGAAATGGAAGAATCTTGGGTGTTGAAGATACGAAAGAAGAAATTGATTCAAAGAAGAAATACGTTCATTGGTCAAAGAAAATGTTAAACCAAAAAGACTCCTAACACAAAACACCAAATAGATTGAATCAGAAAAGAAATTCCCCAAGTCACATAATAACATGAAATACACAGACAAAGAATATTAAAAGCTGCAAGGAGAACGTCCCCAGGAATATATAAAGGCAGACCTATTAGAATTATACCCAAATTCCCAATGGAGACTCTAAAAGCCAGAAGAGCCTGGAGAGATGTCTTGCAATCTCCAAGAGACCATGGTTGCCAACTCAGACTACTATACCCAGCAAAACTATCAATCACCATAGAAGACAAGGTATTTCATGACAAATTCAAATATAAGCAACATACATCCACAAATCTATCTCTACAGAAGGTACTAGAAGGAAAACTTAAACCCAAGGAAGTAAACTCTACCCACAAAAACAGTCAATAGATAATCTCACACCAGCAAAATCCAAACAAGGGAAACACACACACACATTTCCATTACCACAAAACAATCACTTGGCATTAATATTAATCAACGTCAATAGACTCAACAAATAAAAAGGCACAGGTTAACAGAATGGATATGAAAACAGGATCCACCTTCATACCGAATATAATACCTCAACATCAAAGACAGACATCACCTCAGAGTAAAGGGTTGGATAAAAAGATTTTCTAATCAAATGGATCTAACAAGCAGGTTGGTGAGGCTATCCTAATATCTAACAAAATAGATTTCCAACCAAAATTAATCTAAAGAGATGGAAAAGGGCATTTTATAAGGAAAACTCCACTACAATGACATTTCAGTTCTGAGCAGGGGCACCCACATTTGACATTAATAGTGGAACAATTCAAAACCAATCTCACCAATGGACAGGTTGTCTAGACAGGAACTAAACAGAGAAATAATGGAACCAACAGACATTATGACTTAAATGGGCCTAACGTATTTCTAAAGAAAATTTCACCCAAACAACAATGAATATACTTCCTTCTCAGCACCTCATGGAATATTCTCCAAAACTGACCATATACTTTGTCAAAAAGCAAGTCTGACACAAGAAAACTGAAATAACCTACTGTGTCTTATCAGACCATCCAGATTGAAGGTGGATTTCGACAATAATGACAGCAAGTTTATAAACTAACAGAAACTGAACAACTCTCTACTGAATTGCCACTGAGTCAAGGAAGAAATTAAGAAATTAAAGACTTGCAAGAATTTGATGAAAAGGAGTTTACAATATACCCAAACATTTGGGACACAATGAAAGCAGTGTTAAGAGGAAATTCATAGCACAAAATGTCTTCATAAAGTTATTATAAA